CAATATGTTTAGACCTCTCGGGATCTTTGGAGGGTCTGAAAAAAACGTTTTTGATTTGTATTAGACTACAAAGCTTACACATTAAATCAGAGAAAAATTCATAACATATTTTAGATAGTCGTCTAGCAAACGCCGACCGAAGGGTGGTGTGAGTGTTGTCTGAGTTTCAAAGTCATGGGAGGTCGTTCACAGATATAAGTTCCAAAAGTCAGCGGACCGAGCGAGTGCAAACGAGTGTTACCGTGTATACTCTGTTCCCTTGACTTTAGTGTTGGGTATTATAAAGTGGCTGTCTGTGTGTACGTATAATACGAAAAAATGGCTGTCACATTTTCAATTCCCTACATAAGTCAATCCCAAGAGAGAAAAACAGAAAATTGTTTGTTAACCACGAGAGAGAANAGCAGATATTCAAAGAGATGACTAAGACACTAGGTCAGTCTGTATTCTTTAGTTAAATTTTTCATATTGAAAAGAAGATACAAGTACAATCTATGTATACTTATCTCATACGTAGCACCTTTTACAAGTTTTTATAAGTAAAAAGCGTTGAAAAAGCTTTTCCTATGTGCAGCAAAAGACTTGATAAGACGCGGATGCATGGATTCCAGTCAACAGCCGTCTCGGCATTCACTGAGTAGTTAGTAGGAAAAGCAGGGTTCGTCAGTTGTAAGACTGGCAAGGTAAAGAAGACTAGTTACGCCTCATTTTTGTCAATCGTATACAGAGAAAATGAAAATGGAGCAGTGAGTTTTGCGTGTATTTCACAAATGAACATAAAATGTGTTCGTCGGCCGGGAGGGGTGGGGGTTGGGAGGATGAGAGTGAGTGGATATATAAGATACAACAGGAAGTACTAAGAATGTGGCGTAGTTTTAGAGGTTTTGGTCTAGGTGCATGCTTTATTAGTAAATAAATATGTCCCAAATCTACAGTCATCGAATATCAAAAGTTCTCGTACTAATGTGAACCAGCTTCAGCAGTTATCAAAACGGTTTCACAACTAAATCCCAGATCCGCTGATTCTGGCAGAAAAATTCTGTTTTTTGAAATTTTTTCTGCTTTGTTTCTGCTCTTTTTCTTACTGAGGTGCTCTGATTTTCTGATTTTACATTTCTTTTTGTGAGCTTTTTCTGATTTTTACCTTTTATTTTGTGATATCCCTGATTTATATGTTCAACTAAAACAAGACGATTTTGCAGCTTCATTTAACACGGTGTTGCTGAAGCAGCGTAAGATGACTAAAGGGTTTTCCTTTTTTAAATCTAGATCCTTTTCATCGAGCTTTTTTTCTTTTTTCTGTATCTTTCAGTATAAGCTGATTTTCCTTATGAAACGATGAATAATTTCTCAAGCTTCCTAGTGGGTTTTCTTAACATCTGGCTTTATGCAAAACTTTAGTTTTTAAAAAACGCTTGAAACTAAAAAACTATGCATGTGCAAGTTTGTCAAAATGCTTCTCTAAATACTGTAATCAATACAATTCTTCAAGCTTCGACATACTTCCACCACACCCCTTAGTTTTCAATGCTGTGAACGAAGTCACTAACATCGACTTGTCCAGGCATTTCTTACGAAACGTTTCTGTTTTCTTTCTGCTATTAACGAAGAACTTAAAACTTATTTTGTATCTCTTGGTTTGTTCGGAACAATGACATCAATCACGCAGTGATGCATCAGCCCAGATGGTAAGACGGGTCCATCCAGTCTTCTTCCCAACAGGAAGACTTTACAAACGCAGCGTCCCTTTAGGACAAAACATTTTTTTTCCTAAGAAAAATTTACACACATCCGTCCACACAATCTCCTGCCATCATACCAAATATCACATTATTTATCAAAAGCCAAAGAATTCCATAAAACCCATATCAGAGCCCAGGAGCCACTACTGCTAGTCCATGCTAACCGTATACATGTTTCGTGAACAGAAGATCATGTTTCCAAAGTTTTATTAAAAACGGAGGACGGGAAATCATATAAACCTAATATACAAATTTTCGGAAAACACTTAGCCCAGAAACTAAATGATCTTTCTCCCACATCAAACCGTTAAACCAAACGTTCACATATTACACTCGCGAGAACATAACACTCATTTCAACTCGTAACAACCTTTTAAACCCGTATGGGTTCAAGACAGCCTGCCCTATGCTATACTACAACATAACACAGTTTTCAACTCGTAACATGTTTTTAAACTCGTACGAGTTCAAACAGCCAATACTAGATGCACGTAAGCGTTATTTCATCTCGTTATGAGTAGGAATTTAACATGAAGTCAAAGAGGTACCGAACGAACGGTACCGTTTAATTTTGGTTGATGACTAAAATTACCAAAGATTCTTTAATCAATAGTCGATATGAATTACTGTTCGTTAGTTAAACTTTGAATCCGTCCCAGTCTATAGTATGTTTCTTATCAATAATATGTTTAAATAGAGCTGATTTAATATTTATGTTATTAGTAGTAGAAGAATGAGAAACATCCTAATCAGAAGTGCGGTTATCGTTTATTATTAGTGTAATATCCAACATACTTCTTGAATTATTTTTATTTGCCACACGAGAAGAGCGACTCAAATTTTGATGATCTGAATACGATGTGCAGCGATTTTTAATTCTACTTGCACGCATAATATGTCCAGTTTGCTTTTGCAGCAAAATGTGAAATTCAAGTCTCGTTGTACATTTCGGCAAAAATGAGGCAGAAATCTAGAAATCAGCAAATCTGGAATCTTTCAGAGTATTAGACTTCTGATAAAATTTTCATTTTTTATATGAGTTCGACTATTAGATTATTAGACTACTACGATTTTGTAAGAATATTAGAGTTCTGTTGGACTACTGGACCTTTCGTTTTGCATATGAGTTCGTCTTTCAAACTTACACTAGTGGTTCACTCTCAGATCCGCTCTCTCCTAGTCGATGTTCCTATATCCGTAGTGAAATGAATATATTGTTATTCTTATTTTTCTTCGGTATAGCATAGTTGAAGCAGAACAACGTGACATATAAGAGATGTGAAAACCGAAAAGAACACGCGCATATATAGAAGTAATTCGAAAAGTTGAATAAGTTCAAGTGATAATTTATTCACAATAAGTGGATAGAGAGTGAGTTAGGAGTATTCTGAGCTCCAATTCTAACTAATTCTGAGGTGAATTGTTCCCGAAGAGGAAACCGGGTAAAATCAGAATCCTATACTGCCATAAGAAAAGTTCATTCTAGATGAGTTTTCTTGCCGATAAAAGTTGTGTTTTTCAGTGTTCTTATGCCAAGAAACTAGCTTTCATGAGATGAAAAAATAAGATTTCTACTTTTCTTACCGTTATGATCTCGACAAAGAAGTAGAAAAGAATTTTTTCTTGTCATCACTAGTGGCCATAAAAGTTACAGAAGCCGTTTTTCGCCCTACTCCAAGTGAGAAAGTTGTTTAGCATACTCTATTGTTTCATGTGAAACCTGACGGAGAAAAGAATATTTTTGACCACTAGTGGCCATAAAATTATTAGTACTGTTTTTAAACATATTTGCTCTCATTAAAATTATAAATGTAATCAAGTTAAAGCCTTAGTTAGTAATGATGTCAGAAAAAAGTTGAGATATCCAGATACGTTAGTATCTGCTCTATAAAACGCACTCATTTTTTTAAAAATCAGTCTGAATGCAAGGTCTCGTTTGCGCCTATGAATGCAATGGACGTCTGTTCGTCTCTATCGTGTCTGTTCAAAAAATTGTATATAAGGCACACTCATTTCCAATAGTAGTCACCAGTTCACGAGCATTTACTGATGGTAATTGGAAACGCGTTTAAGTTCTCGTGAGTACATTTTCTGTTTTTCCTTTTATTAAATATTCGTCGTCGTTTTTACAAAGTATATATATTTTTTATACAAAATAAAACTAAAATTTCAAAAGATCTCTTTTCGTTATTATTTATTCAAGCAACATTCTCTTCTTATTTCTCGTGCTTTATTTCACCCTTCGTACTTCTCTTAGTACACAAAAAAATTAAAAAATCAAAAAACTAACTTTTCAAAAGAAATTTGATAAGCTTTTCCTTTCCTTTTCGTTATCTTTCCGCTTTACTTCTCTTCTTCTTCGATTTCTTATTAATTGTCAAACACCCTCGTATTATTATTTTGGGCAATCACCAATCACAGTGCTCCAATAAATCGAACGACTTTTGCATGGACGAAGAAAGAAAGAGTGATGAACATCCAGTGTTTGTCACGCACCAGTTTTTTGTCACACAGCAGCAGCAGTCATCGGCAAAAGATCAGCAAGATGGACCACCAGAGTTGCAAGAACGAACACCACCTCAAATGAACCAATCAATATAAACATCGGATTTGGCAATCACAGCGGTAGTAAATGCATCTCTAAATCCAGCAGACATTCCTGAACGTACGACCCCTCCTCCAGTTACGCAACCAGCAACACAGACCTTTGGCACATTGGCATCATATCCACCATTTACTCACGCAACAGTGCCAGAAGTTATTTCACCACCATCACCACCAAGCAGTCGACAGTCGCAATATAAGCAGCAAGGGTCTCGCCGATCAGCAATCTTACGTCGAATCCGTCAGACAACTGGAAGCTTAGAAGAAATTCCAATATTTCTCGCCGCTAAACGGCCTCGTACGGACACACCATATCCGACCTCGCCACCACTATCCCACTGGCACTTTGCACCGATAGTCACATCACCGCCAATGGTATCAAAACTACGCCCGCAACGGCTCTCCCGCCACGCACGACTAGCAATGCCTCATAAGCAGTATCAACCAACATCGCCCCTTTAGTACCACAGTCACCGGTACCGGTACAACGACCGCAATCGCAGGCGACCATGAAACAAGTCCATAGGCCACCAGTGTGAATGATGCCACTAAAAAGCTGGAAATCATCGTCGTCAAGTGAGTATCATTGTGCACGTTAACATGGCGCCTTTTGTTTTAGTTCAATAAACCTCGGGAACGCATAACGGCAAAAAACAACGGTTTCAAAATGACACCACATCAAATTTCAACTCATACACAAATATTACCAGCTACATTCCACCACCACCACCCACTATCCGGCCACGTCAACCCAAAACCAATGCATTACGGCCAACTGCAGTACCACTCATGCAACTGGACTCAAAAGCGCGTCGAACGCAGCAACGAGCACAGCAACAAAGTAGGTACATACATACAAATAATAGATTCAATTTCTTTTTAGATAGGCAGCATGACCCTTATTACGCAACACCATCAACAGCAGCTGCCGAGCAACAGAATTATATGGCTCTCCTACCTCCACCACGATATACGACCGTAACCGCAAAACCAAAAAAACCATACGCACAACCAAAGAATGTACAACAACATACACCTCCACCACCGACTGATTTAGTTGACGAACCGCGGCAACAAGGTTATCCAGCACAGCGATACCAACAGCGAGATACGACAACAGCAACGACAAATAAACCGAACCACGTCATTTTATCAGATTCAACAATGTCCCGTTTCCGGCTGTCTCAATTTAACAACAGCACAGTCAGCGTCCGCATAAAATCTAACTCCGGCTTTGGGATACGCGATTATATTAACCAGGTCACCAGTGGTCAACTCCGATACCTCCTAGAGGAATGTTTATCAGAGCATATTTAGAGATCTTCCCTGATAATCTGTTACCTGGATCAGTGGCTAGTAGCCTCTTCCTTACTCCACTCAGAACATCCACAAACTAGTCCGAAATACGATAGTCTATAAATATGTATAACTCTCAACTTCTCTCGGTCAGTTTTCCACCGAAAAACGCCTATATCAAGAAAATTTGATGGATTTCCTGAATGTGTTAATATATCTAATGTGTTAATCTATCTACGTAATAATTATGTATCTGATTTTTGAAGAAGTCGTGGACAACTATGTCAACAAATCCAATTCCGGTTGGGTTTACATTCAATACTACTTTTAACTAACTTTATTTTACCTTAGCAAAGACTTTTATACAGCAGTTTTTAATAAAGAATAAGTAATTGAGCATATGCCTGTTAAAAAATACATATTATAATTTTTTTATAAATCCATTATGATTTTATTCAAGCTTTCGATGGCTTTGAGAAGGTGTTTGACAAATAAAAAAAAAATTAAATGATAAATCGAAGGAGAAGAAATTAAAGCGGAAAAAGACAAAAAGGAAAAGGAAAGACTTACCCAACTTTTTGAAAACTGTGTTTTTTGATTTTTTTGTGTACTAAGAGAAGTACGGTAGATGGTGTTAGTGCAGTATGCTCTAACACGTTAGCGTCTTCTTTTCTTCTTTTGGTTTTCTCTCCTTATACATACGTACAGTCATTGTACACACGCGCCTATTATTCCGTTTTTCATTCCTTTTCTTAGAAACTATTCATTCCTTTTCTTAGAAATTTCATCATCTTTTGTCATATATATATAAATTTCCCAATCTTTTGTCAGATATACAAGTTTCACCATCCTTTGTCATATATACATAAATTTCATCATCATATATTATATATATATATAGGATAGTCCGCAGTTAGTTTTAAGTCGTCGTGTCACATTCGTATATCGTCTCCTTATCGTCGTCCATTCTTTTGTCATCATTTATTCTATTCACAATTTTTAAATATACATTTAACAGTTCCCAAAAGGTTTCATCGAATTTTCAAGAGTCAGAAAGCCTACCGTTCTCAGATGGAATAAAGCGCAAAGGATGAAAAAAGAGTAGAAATGACATGGACGTTGTTTGAATAAACGGTTGATTAAATAATAGAATGCTATTGGTTGTATTTTATTTTAATGTCAAAATATGCTTTTAAAAAATGACGACGAATGTTGAATATATAAAAAAATGGAGTTTCGAAAATTTATACACGTTTCGACTTTCTTCTTCAGTAAATGCTCGTTTGTAGAATGATTTAAATAGGCGTTAGAAGACGTCCCAACAGGCGAAAATCACCAGAGAGTTGCTCTAGATCCAATACTCGATATTTGAGAAGATACAAACATTCTTGATTCTTGGAAGTAAATGACCAAACAAATTACACTTAGTGTACATATTCTGTATATAATATTTTGTAATCTGTATACTTAGAATCTATTTCTTAGAAAAGGATCACTGTTTGTTTTTGAGATATATATATCTCAAAAACACATTAGTACGCTAGTAAAATAGATCCGTTTCCATTTAATTGTAGTGATTTCGCTGGAAAAAGTAAATGTAGAACTTGGGCTTCTCTGACTATGATGTTCCGAATACTGATCAAGAAAGTTATGTTGGTCATTCCAAATTCGCGCAATTTTTAAAATTAAACTGAAATCCATACATTTTACTAACTTTAGTCTGTGATATTAACATCTCTATACCTTAACTAAAAGATACCTTTTTCCAAAAAATAGCTTGGCACAGAGTACAACTTGTGTACTTCGAACTGGCAGAAAACTGGAGAAGGGTACACCTTCGAATTTGTTAACTTTTTACTCTGGGAAGTTGCCAGAATAAACACTAATTTCATGGTGAAGGGAATCTTTCTTTTGGATAAAACGATAAAATTTGTTCTCTTCTCCATTTCTTGCTTTATATCTGTGTCTCTATAGTATGCATAGAAAGAAGAAAACATAAAAGTTTCATCTGGCTGAACTAGTGCGTGGATTAGATAGAAGTGAAAATGGACCCCTATAGTTAATTTAATCCTTATTCTGGAAGTTGGCAGAATATAGGATGTGCACGATTATATTACGTTTACATAACTCAGAGGACATAAACGATGCAGAATTCAGACTACCATGGCCCGAAGAGAAAGCCGGAAAGTCATGCTAGTCAAGAACTCCTTAACAAATGATTTCTCTTGTCAATTGGCAGAGAAAGTACATCTGTGTCTCATATTCAGCTCCGTTATTGAGAGCCCTGTATCTCATAAAGTAGACTGTACCCTTTTCTAAAAAAATGGCTCCGCGTATACTATATCTTGTGTACTTCAAACTGACATAGAAAACGGAGAGGTGTACATTCTAGTTAGTTTTATTTTAATCTGTTAGTTTCACAGAATATACAGTAATTTCATAGTGAGTGCAGTGAACATTTGGATCAAAAGAAAAACAAATTTCAAACTTAGAAGCAATATCAATCGTATATCTCATATATCAACGTCATATCGTTCTTTTCCGTTCTCTTCTTCTATTTTAGGAAAAAAATCTCTGGTTCACTCTCTATCGTTTCTTACTTTTCCTTTTTCGTTTCTGTGAATAAAAATCTATCAAATATAGAAAGCGCTTGAAGCGCTTAAAGCGATTCAAGCGATGAACAATTTGACAGCATCCCTTAGTTTATCCGACTATTTGAGTGTTCTTGAATTTTCATGTAGCAAAAGTTGCTGAAACTTTCATCAAAAAATGAAAACCAACTTAAAGTTCAAAATATATATCATTCGATTCAGCAGGTCGCACTGATTCCGAATATTGCTTAAAACTTGAGTCCTGATAAAGAAAATTGACAATTACGGGCAGAATTGCCCTTTTTGAACTCCTGACGTAGAAAAAATGGATTTTCTCAGTGACAAGCAAAATCGAAAAAGAAACGGAACGTACTCTTAAAGCTGGCCTAACGACGGTTCGAATGTACAAAACCACTAGATAGGTTTGGAAAAATGTTTAGCAACTTTTTATAGACGAAGTCCAAGACGTTCATATTAATAGACCTTCGACCACCACCTCGATCAAGCATCATTATTTGCTAGATTATATTTATCTGTTAGAAAATTGATTGAAATGTCAGAACGAGTGAGACCCTCAAAGTTGGCATCTAAAACCCACTTGATGCAGCAACATGCTTTCCCGCCCAATAGGCTTGAAATAAAGTTTCGTATGATAAATCATTCGATGCAGAATTCTTTGCTATAAAAACTGATAAGATTTATTTCTTGGGATAGCTGTACCTCGGGATAAAAGACCCAAAATAGTGGGAAAATGTGATGCCTAAAATACTCGATCCAGTATTGACTCTCTAGCCCACGACTACAGATATTCTCAGTATAACCTCATACATGATTGTGTAGAGCAACTTCTCCTCTTTCAGATGAGATCCGAACAGTTTTACCACTCTTTAGAGAGTGGTCATTCGATTCAGCTTGTCGCACTGATTCTAAAAATGACATTTTCATTGCAGTAAACAATAAATCATTTTCAAACTTTGACACTTTATCAATAGAAACGAGAAGAGAGAAAAAAAATCAGAGAAAATCTAATAACTTTATAAAAGGAAGTAACTCTTTACAGAAGTAACAGTACTTTATACATTTTTTCGGAAAGAAAAAGAAAACCACACTTAATTATAAACGAGTAGACAATCTTTTTTAGAACACCAAGGTCAGTAGACGTTTTTGTTCTTGTGTAGAATATTACTTAAGCTTATAGTAGTG